TCTGCTTTTTGTAGATGATGTGGTTCTGGTGGCCTCATCAGACCGTGACCTTCAGCTCTCACTGGAGCAGTTCACAGCCAAGTGTGAAGCGGCTGGGATGAGAATCAGCACCTCCAAATTATGAGACCATGGTCCTCAGCCGGAAAAGGGTGGAATGCTCTCTCCGGGTTGGGGAGGGGGTCCTCTCCCCAAGTGGAGGACTTGAAGTATCTCGGGGTCTTGTTCACAAGTGAGGGAGGGATCAAATGGTAGGAACGTAGATCGACAGGCGGATCAGAGCTGCGTCAGCAGTGATGTGGGCGCTGCATCGGTCTGTCATGGTGAAGAAAGAGCTGAGCCAAAAGGCAAAGCTCTCGATTTACCAGTCGATCTACGTTCCTACCCTCACCTATGGTCACGAGCTATGGGTAGTGACTGAAAGAACAAGATCGCAAGTATAAGCCGCCGAAATTAGTTTCCTCCGTAGGGTGGCTAGGCTCTCCCTTAGAGATAGGGTGAGGAGCTCGGTCATTCGGGAGGGACTCAGAGTAGAGCCGCTGCTCCTCCGCATCGAGAGGAGCCAGATGAGGTGGCTCAGGCATCTGCCTTGGATGCCTCCTGGACGCCTCCCTGGTGAGGTGTTCCGGGCATGTCCCACTGGGAGGAGGCCCTGGGGAAGACCCAGGACATGCTGGAGGGACTGTGTCTCTCGGCTGGCCTGGGAACGCCTCGGGATTCCCCCGGAGGAGCTGGATGAAGTGGCCGGGGAGAGGGAAGTCTGAGTTTCCCTGCTGAGACTGCTGCCCCCGCGAACCGACCTCGGGTAAGCCGAAGATGATGGATGGATGGATGGATGGTTTAATTTTTGCTGCTTACCTGATGGGAAAATATTAAAAATGATTCTTTGACAGGGTGAGTTGTTCCATCGATATGAAAAACAGTTAGATAACACTGGTATACAGTGATTTTGGTGCCAACAATGTCTGAATGGTTTTATATTAAGTTTATGGTGCTGGTTAAGAATATGACTTTTTTTCAGTTTTGCCAGATTGGGTCTAGTTTCTGAGATATTTAATAGTTAATTAATTGATTAACGCAACACGTTTGAAAAGCATTCAGAATTGCAAGAATATTTTTAGTTACAACTAGGTACAACTAGTAAGTCTAACATCATACAAAAAAGAAATATCTAACAGTGACAGGAAAAAGTTATGTATGATTTGATTAAATAATACAATATTAATTAGTTATTAATTGTTATTAATGCCAATGCTTCAAAACAAAAGTACTGCGGCTGGTTGAAAAAGATGACTAATGTCTATGAAGCGCGATGCGACCTTTGTAAAAAAGTCATCAAACTGGCAACAATGGACTCTAAAGCCATCGACTCATATCAGGGGAGAGAAGCACAAGTGTTTTGTCGAAAGTCGGACAACAACTGTCCCCATTCAGTTGTTTGCCAGTCCTGCAAGTACAACCTCTACAGATAGGCTTACACCCACTTTGGCAGTGTCTCTGGATCCCACGACAAGCAATGCCTTCAGTACATTCTCCTCAACCGACACACTAAAAGCAGAAGTGCTATGGGCTTTGCAAATGGTAAGCCGACATCACTCCTATACAGTACATCTAATGATGACATTGACACCGTGGTGAGTGATTTGCTGGGACACAGTTAGTAATTGTAGGAAGTTGTGGCCTACATAACCTTCACAATTCATTCAAGACTGGTTTTGAAGTGTGGATGGTGGAGAAAGTGGTCAAAGCACTACATTTTCTTTTCCACTCTGCACCAGCCGGAAGAGAGGACTTCACAGATGCAACATCATCCTCAAGATTCCCTCTACCTTTCTGTGGCCATTGGTGGCTCGAAATTTTGCCAGCTGTTGAATGAGCATTGGAAGTCTGGCCCTTTATTGTGATATATGTAGACTTGGTGAAGTCAGAATAGGTGAAAAACCCAGAGACATCTTCTTTTGACTGCATTTGTGAAGCCTGAATGGATCTCCTTCTTCTGGCCAAACTACAGTTTTTCATGGCCCTATCACGAGCATTTAAACCATTTCTGACTAAATACCAGATAGGTGTTCCCATAATGCCCTTCCTTTGGAAGGACTTGGCAGATTTGATCTGGGTAAATATTCACCACCACAGTAACAACAGCAATAAATGAACATGCAAACATGCACATGTGAACATAACTCTAATTTTATTTTCGGACTCTCCTTCAACACTTCATCATTCATTTCATTACCTAAGACACAGTTAAAGAGTCAAAAGACAGACCAAAAGCTATTGCATTTGTTATCATACACAAGTCGCATTGAGTGAATGCATTATTTTCATGGATGTCCATTATCTCAAAAACTAGAACCAATTCAGCAAAAGTAATTGGATTTTTTAATTCAGCACCCTCAAAATACCCTAAATCCATTCAAAAAAACTTGCCAACTGAATTTTTTTTTTTTGTAGACCTGTGTAATTGAGCCTCAGCAATGTGATGGATTATGTTTCTGTGTTCGAGAGAGATTTGGATGTGTCTTTAACAGCGTTCCATAAACAGAATTATTACATTAGTCACTCAGCTGACAGACCATGATTACAGGAGAACCAGCTGGAAATAAGAATGACATTGAACTGTTCTGGCCTTCAGGGCCACTTTGACAAATCACAGTCTGGTTGTGTTTCTTGCTGTTAAAAAATCTGCTGTTTGCTTCTTCAAAGACTGCCTCACGTTTCATTCACCATGAATGAAAACAAAGCAGAACTGGGTTTGCTGCACTTCTGAAATCCGCAGGATAAACCCTCTTCCAGCAGATCGTGACTAATTTTTCTTGTCCCATTAAGTAAAGTCAATTTTGGGGAAACTCATTTTCTGCTATCAACCCAAGTTGAAGATTTAGTAGGTGCTGTGTAGCCAGCTGGTGGCCCAGTGATTATGGAAACAAGTTTGTCATCTGAATTTTGTTGAGCCCAGGTTTTATTTAGGGTCCTGCTGTTTCCAAAACTGAGCAAAGGACAGGACCTTACTGTATGTCACATTGCTAGAAACAAGGGACTCAAGGACAGGTCTCAGGAGAACAAATGGGGCTTTATTAAACAAACAGGACTGCAAGGGATCAAACTGTAAAGGCAAGTTCTGGGAAAGTACAGGCAACAGGAGGACTGACCTTAATGTCCGGACTGGGGTACACAGGACTGGGAAGCACGTATATACGGGACTAACGAGGCACTGATACGATTCAGGTGTTGATGTTTATCACATTAGGACTGGGGATTATGAACAAGACACAGCTGGGAAGAAACAGGAGGGTTTTGGAGGACCAGCAGTAATCCCTCGTGGTCATGCCAAGGGATGGACAGGATGGATTGTGATACCTTAGTGGCTTTGTTACCATCTCCTCTGCAGACCAGGGTTAAAAATAATAATAATGTACATTGTCTGCTGAGTATGTGAATTAAAGCATAATTGTAGGCAGTAAAATCAATGAGAGCTGGGTGATTCTGCATGATCAACTGGCAGAAGATGCTCACTAATGCAACCAATCTATCTGTGCTGTCAGAAATGAAATTCCTCACCCCATGAGCTTTTTCTTCCTTGGCCATCCAACCATCTTCCAGCCTCTTATTCTGTACAAGGTCATGTGGGGTGGCACAAGGCCTGGGCACTCTTTCAACAGGATGCCAGAACATTACAGGGCACATTCTCACATAACATCAGAAGTTTAGCAGTACCAATTAGCCTAGCTGCATGTCTTTGGATTATGGGAAGACGTGAGAATCCCTGGAGGTGACCTGCACATGGGGAGGTCGCATGAACTCCACGCATAGAGCCGCGAACAGCGCCACCTACTGAGCCTTGGTAATCATAGCGTCCAGCTTTGCCCAGTAGCCTTGTTCTTGTCGTGTGTTTTTTTTGTGTGACTTGAGTCTGATTCTGTGTTACATTCACATAATCGCCTATGAAGAGTTAATGAATTTAAAATTAATGGAAAAAAATCAAAACAGGTGCAGTTATTCCAGACACATAAAATTCAAGAGAACACAATACTATGGGAGTTTTGTATCGATAGCAAGAATGTGCCTTGATTTCATAAGAATAGCGAGAAGCAGACAATAAAATTATACGTATGTCTTAAGCTTTTGATTGGTATTGTATGAATAATTCATACGTTAGCAATTTGGTGTTGATCATAAATAAAGCTCTTTCTGGAGAATTATCTGCTGTTTGTGACCCACCAGCTGAAAAGACAGAGTAACCCATGACATATGATCTTGTAGCAGGTTTGTCTGGATTTGTGTTGAGCAGCAGTTTCAATGGCTGCCTGCTTCCATTCTTGACATAACTTGTCTGATAATGCTCTTACAGATGACAAACTCGCATTAATTTGAAATTCAGTTAAACTTTCACAAACATTATGGTTACAGACATGTGTCTGTCTGAAGTTTTTGAATACATTACATTGTTGTTGTACACTTTAAACCTGGTGATTAATCTTAAATTAATTAATTAATTATCAGTAAACTACAGAGTATAATTTAAAAGTCACGGTGCAGTGATGCGCATCACGCAGGAATGGTGGACAGTCCTAGTAAAATTCCAGAGGAAAATGCAACATTTTTCAATCGGCAAGCTGCATATGATGTCTGTGACATAAAAAGAATATCCACCATGTGTAAATTAAATGTTGTGGGAAATCTGGAAAGGGTCCCGTGAATTGTTTTCAGGGAATACTAACTACTTTTCGCTCTTTTCAAATGGGTATGCATGAAGCCATCGTGGTATTTCATATAGCCTACAATAGTTTAATTTAGCCTCTTTTGTTTTACGTTTTTAAACCAAACCAAACCAATGCATGAGTTAAAAGTATTTGGGACAAAATTTAGAAATGGATGATAAAAACATTTTTAATTAAGTTGCAGCAAGTGCCTTATTGATAAAGACTAGGCTACGTACTACGTGAAAAATCGTGTACTGCCAGTATATATATTATATAAGTCCGTCCTTTCTGTGTATTTGTATGTCATCTGTATTCTCACTGGTCTCTTTTATTTAGTTTATCTAGTGAGTATTTTTAGTGTGCATAGTTAATAAAAGGATATTTTTCATTTTTGCTAATCTGGTGCTTCAGAATCATACGATATAATTTATAGTACTGAATTGTTTTGTTACACGACCTGGCAGTTTTTAACTATTTCCAATGCATTACAGCGCACCAACATTACTTAAAACGATTATTTATCAATAGTAGGCCTAATAGTTTTATACAAAAGCAAGTAAACGTCAATGGGGCGTTTATGATGTTAATGAGTAGGACACCTCCCATTACTTCGGTCTGTTTTTTTCGAGTCCCGAAGTGAAAACGGGGGAGGTGAGGCTGCTCATTACAGGCTGGGTATCAAATTGCAGCCTTGTGAGAAGCGGCAGCCCGGCCGGTCTGAGCCCGTAGGCAGTTAGCGCGCCGCCGCTCCCGGTGAAGCATGCCCGGCCCGCACGCCGAACCGCCGCCTTCACACCAGCAGTAATAGGACTGTTCGGGGTTCGGGGAAGCGGAGAGCCGCGTCTCCTAAGCGAGGAGAAGCCGGTGGGCGCATCATTACGCGGAGGCCCTCACTGCACACCGAAAAGAAGATGGCGGAGTTCTCCCCCGTCCTGCCGCTGCGCGATGGGGCTTGTCGGCTGGGCCAGCCCCTGTTCCCCCGCTCCCGGTCCGGCTCGGAATCGGAAAGCGAGCTGTCCCAGAGCCTGGCCCGCACCAAGACCCGATCGTACGGCAGCACGGCCAGCGTGACGGCGCCATTGGGGGAGAAATACATCGAGCATCGAGTAACACACAGCGATACCCTGCAGGGCATCGCGCTCAAGTACGGCGTGACGGTGAGGATCTGCGCCGTGACTTTGCCATCTAATTATTTATTGGGAAAACAGACATACGCAGGTCAAATCGGTATAACAATATTTAACTGCGTTTTCATATGTAATCACTTGGGCTAAGACATTATGCCATGTAGCGGCGCTACTTCGCCTTTATCTCCTAGTTCTCTACAAATTAACACGTTTTCGCTGTAGAGTCTGCAGCAGATTTATTATTTACCAAGTACTGGTGCATCTGCTACGGTATATTTTTCATGTTGTAATGGATTTTACATCTTTCTGCCGTCTGTCAATTATTCTGAAATGAGCCGGCTTGGGGGTGTGTGTGTCATAGTGGGACATGTTCATGACCAGGAAGTAGCTGTGCGGTCCCCTTTGCACGTGACGCCTTTGGGGTCCCCTTTGCACGTGACACTTTTTGGGGTCCTTTAAGATCCCATTAGGGAGTCACCTGTTTCAAACTGTGCAATTGTCAGAGAAAACGTAGCACATTAAGACCTCAGATCTCCAATGAGGATCCGTGCTGGTTGAACCATAAGTGGAGGGATTGAATTGCCTCTGGACGAAAGTTTCAGGGGGAAATGTTTTGAAGAAACGATATCAATCCACAAAAGTTCGAAATGACTAATTACGTTCCTAAAGTGTTTGGTGCGTGCCCTCTCTGTTTAGGTGAAGGCGGCTTGCATCATTTCATGCAGTCTGAAAATAGCAGAGGTGGATAGTTCAAGTCCAGAAAGTAAAAATTCGAACCAAGATTTTGTCTCAACCAATCAGTTGAGTACTCTGCCATTCTTTATATTGAACTGGTTGTTTGAAACAATATCGTAGGTCTGGATTTTTCTAGACCTGAAGTTTCCACCTCTAGAAAATATGATGGTTATGGTGCTGAAGGGGTTGATGGCAGAGGTGGTGGGGGGCTGAGGCCTCTTCATGGCTGAGTTCTGCAGTTTCTGCTTTGGTTAATGCACCACATTGGGCTTGATAGCAACCCATTCTCTTCCCACGTCTAACGCAGATGGAGCAGATAAAGAGAGCCAACAAGCTCTTCAGCAATGATTGCATGTTCTTGCGGAAAACTCTAAATATTCCTGTGGCCTCCGAGAAAGCCACCTTCCTCAATGGACTGACTTTAGAGTCACCAGACAGCGAGGGCAGCGACAACTGCCTGGCCCAGGAGCGACCTCACGCGGCCCTGGACACAGGGGACACCTTGTCCACCCCGTCCTCACCTACGTCCAGCCCTCAGGAGACACAGAACCAGCCCCTGAAGCCAGAGGAGCTCTCAGCCCAGGACTACTTACAAAGGCTGGACCTGCAAATCAAAATATCGAAACAAGCAGCTCAGAAACTTAAAGAGGAAGATGACCGGTAAGAATTCTCCTTTTATGTCATACCATAGCCTGTATTGGAATTATAGCAAGTATTTATAAATGAATTTTTCATCAAGTGGAAATAATTGATGTATGTCATATAGCGCTACATAACTATCATAGAAGTCATAATTAATTGAACATGGTTTTTAATTAAGCAATTAAGTGTCCTCTGCAGTAGTTTTGCTTGATCCTTTTGACCGTCTGAGCTACATCCTCAACTCTTGTAGACATACAGTTCATGGTTTCATGTAGACACTGCCAAGTGAGAGGAAGAACCTCCCCACCTTTGAGAACATTTAAGCTGGCTTCCTCTGAAGTTTCACTAGGAAGAATTTGCTGGTTTGTTTTGTAATCCATCGCATCCACAAATATTTTTGTCAGCATTTTCATACTCATGCACATGCGTGTGATATGAGCTGTAACAGCTTCCACCATTGGAGTAACCCCCTTTTCTGCAGTGATGTTGTGGTGTTAAAGCTTCGCATATCTGCTAACCACGGGTGCTAAGTCTCAAATGAGAGCAGTTAGCAAGGCAGGGTGCCTGCAGAAATGCATTATTCAGAGCAAATCCATGTATTTTATTCAAATTCAGTCAATGTGTAGCTATTTTTTAGTTCACAATTTACAACTGGAATAGTATTTAAAAATATGTCTATTAAAAATTGGCAGGAGTTGTTCTTGTATTAATGGTAAAAATGGATATTATTCATTTTCTATTAATATGCTGAATTCTCTGCTGACAGAATCCTGTAGTCCACTTCAAAAGGCTTTTTTTTCATAATTTATATAAAAAAAAATATCCATGGCAAGAACTATCTATGAATATAACATTACATGTTTTAAAGTTAATATATAATTTGAAATGTGCTGTCAGGATAACAAAATATACCCTTTAAGCCTTTTTTTTTTTAAGTGACTTTGTGGTGGTTATGGTTTCAACATCGTGGCAACCAACCAACCAATCATTCGTTCTGTTGTGAACCTGCCTAATTTTCTTCCACCATTTAATGTTCTGTTAACACTGCGGAAGCGCTCTAATTCTGTTTGTTAGCTGTAGCTGCACTGGAGCAGAATGCTACTGAATAAATGATGACAAATGGAGCAGGAGTGTGAGGGACAGCGGAGGCCAAACTGCTTGGCTGCCCTAGAGGCTGTTACCATTAACACCATTAACGCAGAGCTGGGGGGAGAAGGAACAGGGTCGCAGCAGAAGATGCTGACCCAGACGAACATTGAAATGCTACTTTCTGATGCCGTGGTTCAGGAAATGAGAAATTTCAAGCCATTTGCACCAAAAGTGGAAAAAATGCCACGAATCAGGGCCTTTTGTGGGTTGTTTCTGCCAAGGACTCTTACAGGCCTTAAGGTCACATACAGTGTGGAAAAAAATATATAGACTAATTTTCGAGGTTCAGTCCCACCCCCTCCGGCCCTGACAGCTGGTCAAATATCCTACTAACATCTTTCCTTCCTTTTGTGATGGACTTGAGGGGTGTAATCAGTCTTTTATTGCCGTGTGTGTTTGTGTTCTTACGTTTTGTATTTATTTTTTTGTGTTTACAGAAGTGATGGACCTGATGGTTCAGACCCGACCACATCTCAGGAGGAAATATGAGAAAGCGGATTTATTTTTGTTCTCTGAGAGTCGCTAGCTGAATGACAATGACACATCTGACACCAGTATCTCATCTTTTGCTTTTCTATATATTTTTTTTACATCCCTTTACTGAGGTACAAAATAGGATTTTAGTTCATATCCTCATGTTTGCACTTTGACATGTCATCTTTTTGCCTTTGTTGTTGTTGTTTGTTGTATACCTCTGAGGTCTTTGCATCATATGAAAGCTGTTTGTTTCTGACATCAACACAACTGCTATCGCGCTGTGTGGTCTTGAAGCTGCAGTACAGTTGATTTATTTCCTACGAAGACACAGGAACGCCAAACAAGGAGAGGTAATAGCACTTTATTCTGGCTGTCAATGTGTTTCACTTAAAGCCTCTAAAGATACAGTTGTCCTACATATATACAGGTCTGTAGTCTTTCTTTGATTCATTAGGAGATGTGGATGGTTGGAAGCCCTATTTTGTTGTATTTATTTTGCTTGTTCAAAATCTATTTACAAAAGGGACAACTTTATTTTAAAGTTTGAATGTGGTGTTATTGTGAGACAAATATATTTTAAAATATTCAGGTTTTATTGTTTTATTGTGCTCTTTCGTTTTGGGTGGCGAAAAATAAAGTGTTTGAAATCAGTCTTCTCCGAGATGTACAGAGTACTTTGGAACTCGTCTTTACAGAGCACCATTGGGGAACATTACAGGTGGTTAACAGGCACTGTCATGGCTAGCTTGTTGAAACTGTTCTGCATTTTCCAAAGTAAGTAAGTGACTCACAATGGCATTGGCACGTACTGTTTGGTCCAATCCTCTGACCGTAATTTTTTTGGTTTCCTACCAGTACAGACAGATATCGTTGTTCACAGCTATATGTTAAGCCATATTTTCTCTCTCGAATCAAAGATGTCCGTACTATTGATTGAGGGGAAAATGTTGAGAAAGGAAAGGACTAGTCAGGGATTTTGGGGGAGCTGGGGTATCTTCAGACTTTCTGACAAAATGCCCACATTCATGGCTGGTATACAGAGGCTGTTTTGTCTCCAGAGAAAGAAGAACAGATGTTATTCAGAACTCAAGACACACCAGCAACCACATGTCGTGCTGCTATGGAATTTGACATGGATTGTGGTGCTGTGTGCCTTGAGGTGTTTTAAATGCCTAAAATCATGGCATTTACATGTAAAATCAGGTAACCTCTAAACCTGTGTTACTCAACCTGTTCCTCAGGGATCCCCAGATGTTTTTGCTCCAGCCCCCTACCTATCTGACACCTGCTGGGAGGGAGCAAAAACGTGGACTGCCTGAGGGTTCCTGGGGGCCGGGGGGGGGACACTGCTCTGACCTCCACATCACTATTTCTAGGTCAGACAACCTAACAGGCTTCTTTGCTCTTGACGGTGACAGATGATATGTTATAATTAATCTTGCAGTTTTATAATATGCTGCTGTTTTGCTTTCACTAACAAAGTTCACTGTGTAACACATTTTAGCTGTGCTGTACAGAATGTATGGTAAACTTCTAAAAGGACATAGTCTGATTATACTGATTTTATAATTCTGTCATAATAAGACTGAATTACTGTAACAAATATCAAAGCAAATGAGAGCATGTAGGGTAACAGGCTCAAAATCAAGAATAATTAATACTTTTTCTCACTCAGCTTAGATGCTAATCTGTTTTACTGTGCACCAATGGGAACTGATTTCTACAATTTGATTTTAGACTTAGATTTTAACATCTGAGCAGTTATGGGCAGTGTAATGTTGAGCTTTACTGCTCAGACATTTTACTCCAGTGACACATGCAGTGGTTGCACCCTAAACCTAGATACTGCCAGTGACACATGCAGTGGTTGCACCCTAAACCTAGATACTTCCATTCTCAGGTTACAATTTACTTTCTAAAATGCACAGAAATGGAACCAGCTACACCAATACAGAAAGGAAAAGTTTTAATTGCTTTTACATTTTGGAAAAAAATCACATATTTACATTTAGAAATACTTCATTATGCTTCTTAAAACTTCAAATGCTTTTTTGTGGTGTGGCTAATGGAGACTGAGTCTCACACAATGAGGAGTTAAACAGCGCCACCTCTTGGTCTCTTAAAGAGCTCTTCTCAACAAAATCTCGCCAGAAATAGCAAATCATGCTGAATGTCGCTGATTGGTATGAATTTTTTTTCCGACTGAACTGAAAGCCATTGCACACTATTTCATATTTTTGCGCTAACGAAAAATACCTGTGTTGGCATGCTGTGGAACACAGATTGGTATGAATGATTATAAATTCAACATCCATGTTAAGACGATGCTTGGCCACTATTTCCTACTGAACTGGGTCTCTAGTCTATTCAGTGGTTTTCACATCCACTTTGTTGTCAGTTAAATTTTTCAGTATCTTTTGTTTCAAGGAGCCTCTCACCTTCGCTGTGCTTTCCCTTCCGCGCGGTCGTGGGTGACATTTTGAGGTGGTAGCCAGATAATTCAGTGGCATTAGTCAGTCGACAGTAAGCTGAACAGCACTGTACTATCACTGCATAACATAGGGTACTGCAGTTTGAAAGAAGTATTCAACAATAATAATACGATTATTGCTGCGTTACTAATTTAATATAACCACGTAGGGGTAAACCTTCTGGGAAGCGTGAGGCAGTTAGTTTCATGTCGATTATTTATCTTTGCTGCACACCCCATTTTTTTTCCGTGACTCTCCTGCCCCACGCACCCCGGGACGCCCGCAGCTTTACATGCTGCTGTAAATCCGCTTGATGACCTCGCCCTCGTCCTTCTGCAAGATGCCATTGTCCACATAGGTGTCCACTTGCTGGTCCATGAAGTCCCTCAGCTTGGACAGGTCGTAATCTGAACGGAGAAGTCAGCCGTTACTGCAGGGTTACCGAGGTGAGGGGAATTCTCAGGAACATGGGATCAATGCAAGTCTGACAGCCATGACTATTAAAAGCAGGTGTGGAATGGTGTTCCTCAGCATTCCTGTACCAGAGAAGAGGCTGCTATGAAACCAGCTTCTGTATACTAATTTTGTCCTCCTGTGTCTTTACAACAAAAGGCAGTTGCTTAAACTTGGTTTGCATTACTCAACTTTGACAACAGTTATGTGTTTAACAGAAACTCCTCAGAAAACTTTAAGTGAGTTATGTAGGCTGCATTCACACTACCAAGCTTTAGTGACTCAAATCCAATTTTTATTTATTTTGTGCCTGAATGTGACTCGGATCTGATTTTTTTTTTCAGGGCTTTGTGGACACATCCGATATTTTCAAATCTGATTTGAGTCACTTTTATATGTGATCCTATATTATATCTATCCGATTCATATCATGCAACATAAATGTGAAAAGTCAGACTGGGATTCCTGTGGTTTTTTGCCTGTATGCATGTGCTGAGCGTTGTTTTTTTTTTGTCGTTGGTGATGTAGATGACGCGCGTGAAAAGATATCAATGTGCGCATGTGAACCCATTTGAAGGACAGGTGTGTTCATATTACAGTTAGATATAGGTCACTTGTAATTATGAATGTGAACCATCCAGACAGGCAAATCTGATCTGAGCAAAAAATCGGAATTAGACAATCAGGCTTGTTGTGTGAACGTAGCCATATATGCCGACAGACACTGCCAGACATTGTTCGGCACCATTTAAACCAAAGTGACATCCATTTTTGAGAAAGCAGAGTAACCGGAGGCCCAATGGTGAATCTAAGTCATGGAATTTGAACCGGCAACCTACTGAGCTACACAGCCCCACTTGACACTGGGGGTAGAAAAAAGCTGAACCTATTTTTGCTGTAAAACCACCCTGGCCATTATCAAGCCTTCCTCCCCTGCATCGGGCACAAATCAATAACGGAGTGAAAGGGAATCTTTTCCCAAATACCCAGAGAAGGCGCCGCTGCATGTTAATGCTTCTGTGGTGGGGGCAAGGAACCCTTAGCTTAGAAAGGGGAATACAGACTGGCCCTGAACTTTGACGGACGGCATGTAGAACGGTCTCTGAGCAAGGAAATACCTAATACAGTCACGTCCAGCGAACAGAATAATGTACTGGAGGTAAACTTTAAATAATGGTTAAATTAGCCATTTTTACTCTGAGAATTTATGACATACGCCTCTAGTGGTGTAACTAGCATTCTCCATCATACAAAGGAGTCACATACAGCATGCTGCATTTGAAGACTAAATAATATTTTTATAAGACTAAAGTTCGGCTGCTCACTGGTTATATTTAAGCATCATGTGAGGGTGCATTTCTGCACAGCCCTGAGTCTGCCTGAAGCCATTTTATACGTTTACATCACACCTCCATTTCATACCTTTTACTATATTTTCTTTATATCTTTATTTTACTCTACTAGAGTGGGACACAAATTCCTGTTTGCAGCCATGAGCCAATTTAAAAATAATTGCAGTAAATTAAATTTCTAGATGTTTCACTGCTCTACTCAGAGACTGAAAAACACTGCAAAAGCAGAAGCAATTAACAGTAATAAGACTCAACACAATGGCAGCTACGAGGCAGCACACCAAGGCTCTAAAGGAAGGTTTATGCAAATTACAGGTAGTTAGCGAAAAAGAAGCAGAAAAGAGCAGAAGGCTTGTATCTCAATAATTAGCGGAGCCTTTCTGAGTTTCTTATAAATATTCATGAAACTTCTGGGTAACCCAACTGTTCCCTTTCACCAACTTCGCTAATTTCAATTGCAAATTTCACACAAAAGACACTAATTTTTCTCCAGTGGGTTTTGACGCAGGCTTTTCTGTTGACCGTGCTGCGACCCAAGGGAGAGAAGCAGTGTTTCCCCCGGATTAAAACGGCCCTAAGGTGACTGTGTCCAACAGATTATAGTCCCAGATTAGCACTAGGCAGTTTATTCACCCTGGGTTTGGGGGGGTGGGGGTGAATGGTTTTTAAAATATAGACTGCTACTACTAAAGCTAACGAGATTGTGACCTTCTAGAGACACTAGCTGTGGACACAGAGGTCATTAATCTGGGATCGCCGAGACTGGATAAGATGCAGTTTAATATGAGGTGCATGCTCACCTTCCTTGTTGGTGTCTTTTTTGTGCTTTTTGAGCCACTCAATATTCTTCCTGATGGCCTCCAGGTAGATTTCTGACTTCCCTGGGTGGCCTGACAGAGAATAAAAGAGCAAGAGAGAGCGAGTGAATGAGCGTCTCATTGCCCCAGTCACAGCAAACATAAACAAGGCCTTTGCGTTGATGAGATATGGTTGCAGTGTTGAGTTTCAGCTCTGCTTGTCTTGGAAGCTTCTGGAAGTGCAGTGACACGGTAAAAAAAAAAAAAACACATCCAGATTCACACTCGCATTAAATAAAAAAAATTACAATTGCTTTAGATGTCACCATAATCTCTAATCAATGTCTTCTAATTCAATTTAGACACAGAAGCATTACGAGATGATTTTTCCCAGTGTTTAGTGGAAATAAAAAGTAATATTTCATGTATCACTGTCATGGAGTTTCTCTCCCTTTCTCAAGTGTGTTTCTGAAGCTTGGCCTGATATTACGTAGCAGGCCATCCTCCCTTTGGGACTATCGCATGGGCATCAATATTACAGATGTGCAATAATATCAAACCAGCCATTGCCGTATCAGTGTTACAGAATCCACATGTCTCCAGGCAGACCGAAATGGGAACCATGGAAACGAATCGAGCGACTGGAGCCAAGCGTGGGTGTCCGTTAGCTATTGAGCGCACCTGTCTCGACGACTCCCTGGCTGTCCTTGGTGGAGTCCTTCAGCGACTCGTACTCTTTCTGCATCCGGGCCGTCGCTTCCTTTGTGTTGTCCACCTCGTCTCCGCTTCTCTCTAGAACAGGGACCAAGAGCTGAATACGGCCTGGACGTGTCGCGGGTCGGTGAGTCCCTCCTCCTGCTTACCTGTGGGCGGTTTTATGTCCGACGCTGCCAAAGATTTTCCAAGTTTATTCTTCGTCTGAAGAGCAATCATGGCGTCCAGGTTTTCTGCATTAAACCACAGATAACGCATTATTTTCCTGGCAAAGACTGTGGTGTGGAATTATAAGCAAATTTACGCAGACGTGCAACATTTTCAAATGTACTCATGGTTTTGTTATGCTCACACCACGAGGCATTGTTTTCGCATTGTTGTAATATCCTTTAATCTGGGTCAGCCAGTGCGAGACATAACTTTATGCAATCTGTAACAGGGACCTATTTTTATTTGTTGCTTGGAAGCTGTTCTGTAGCATCTCGAACCCATTTAATCTTTTTTCAAAAATGTCATTGCCCTGACCCTTTCAGGTGAACATTGTGAATGTGCAACACACTGAGGCCGAGCAACAAGTGAGTCATCTCACTGCATGTGACGCTGGCAAGCGGGCAGCATCATCAATGAACTGTTTCCAGGCAACAAAGACTTTGATGTGCTGGACTTGGTGGAACTTTGATGTGGTGCCACTTCCGTCACTGGAAACCCACATCACACACGGGGAATTTTTATTTAAAGGTCATGTTATTTTACTAATCAGGTTTAAGAGTATGGAGTCCTTAAGGAATTAAACCAGGCTAAGTATACTTCAAGATTTGTAAGGGTCTATGGGAAGAAAGACATTGCATTTTGTTGGAACTGTTAATCTATTACACCATATGCTGGTGTTCAGTACCCCACTGATGCAGAATGCTGCGTGAATGTAGAGGACAGTATTTCATGTGTGATGCTCAGTCATCAGACTCCCTCTCCACCTTCAAGAAACTCCTCAAGACCCATCTGCTCCATGAATTCCTCCTCTAGCTTGATGCCTCTTTACCTTCCCTGAATGTTCTTACGTTGCACTTCTGATCATTGAATAGTCTTATTAGGTTCTTGCTTTGTTAGGAGTCGATGTGTAGCTTTTGCTTCAAAACTGCCTGGAGCTGTACCTGGGCGTTCATTTGAAGCTTAGTTGCACTAATGCGTAGGTGACTCCTCAACTGCATGCATGTACTCGCTTGTACATCACATTGGACAAATGCGTCTGACCATCTCGCTGTCTGAACTCCTCCAGGAATGCAGACATCATTCAATCGCCTTTCCTCTTGATGAGTTTCAAATCATCAAAGATGTCCTTCATTCCCCACATTCATCTGTGTTTTGGCACTTAAATGTCCGATAACATCCCCCCGCCACCCACTAGAGTTTAATTTAAGGATCAGTTGACAGAAGATGAAAGGGTTCCAAGTTGGAACAAAAGGTGCCAGATTGCCTTATTCCACTCTCCATATCTGTTCACTGATATGGCTGCTTAAAGGAACAAATGGAACTCTCTGGTGAGACAATACATGGAAAATATTCTCCCAATCGCGCAGAGAAGGCCTAAAAAAATGTATTTTGAATTTAAACCATTTTTTTTTTGTAGAGACTTTGAAAAATGTAAGTCAGTCAAAGCAATAGCATATAAGCCTCAGGTCTTGCTGAAAATCAAACCACAATCAGAGACAATGATTCTAAAAAGCTATGATTTAAGATGAAAGATCGCAGTGCAACACAGTGACTTATTTCAAAGATCCAGCCCCGAGTTATAACTGCTTTTGATCCATCTTTTAGGTCCCACTTCCCGAGCCATAAACCCCATGCACTCTTACCGAGGTAAGACACTCCTTCCTCCGGTGTGATGGTGCCGTATTTGACCATCATCTTCACAAAATCAATCAGGGTTTTCATAATGGTGATCAGAGTTTCTCTCTCCTGTGCATCTTTCTCTTCAAGGCAAAGGAATTGGGCAATTATTTTATGCAACATCAAAGGTGTATTTATTGTACAAATGCGTGACCTGATTTTCCATTATAAGCAAAGCTCAGTTAGTTGAACAGCGTGTAGGTAATGCAACAATGATGACTGCTGGGCAACCACCTTCTACTCTACCTAAGCTGAGGCTCTTGAGGAGGTTGTAGAAGTTGGGGAAATACTGCAGGTCGTCCAGGCCGTCCATGGTGCTCATCTCACTGCTGAGCTCTGACTTCCTGCGTGGGGCCTGCACGCCATCCACCGTGTCATCGCGACCCTGCTCTCCTGGCTCCGCCACCCCGCTCTCCTTCTCCACCTCACCCCCGATGTCCTTCCTCGCAGTCTCCTGCCGATGATGGAGCCGCCAGATCGTCACATCACATCAGCGGCTAACTCTGGAACTCGATATCCGCAATACCCGAAGCCTGAACTTCTTGAAAACTGTTTGCCTGAGCAGGAATGCTCCTGTAGTTCAACAAGTAAAGCATTGTGCTGACAATGCAAAGGTTGTGGGTTCAAATTGCAGGGAGCATGTGTAAATTATAACCTTTCCCTCTAGTGTAGGTTGCTTTAGGTAAAAAGTTAATAATATGACAAGCATTACACCAAGCTCAAAATTAACAAAGGATATAAATTATATTTGCACTTTCAGAATTCCAATTCTGTTCCAGATCTAAAGCACGGTGAGAGCACTGCACAACTCTGTCCTACTTATTTGGATTCCTAAGTAGATGCTAATGGCAACTATAGGCAGAGTGAGCATGCAGACTGGTTTGTGCCACCTTCAGACCATGGTTCTGCTCCACGTCTTTGGTTCTGGAGATGGGAAACTCCATGCTGATGTCGTCAACTTCATTTTTTTTGGCGTTCTTGGTGATGAGGTCTTGCAAGGCCTCAGCCACCTCATACTCCAGTGTATCAGCCTGGCTCTCTGTAATCTGAGACAAGACAGAAAAGCACAGATTCGCACTGTCCGGGTGCCGCTGCATCTTGTCTTGGCAAACATGACGTTCAAATGTAACATAGCTGGAAGCTCTTTCATCTTTATGCTGCTTGGGTTGTTTGTAGTCAGTAACTCCTAACATAGTTACAGGGTGGTTCTGCTACACGATCCCTCATTTGCTTTACCGCGACATCCTTTGGGAGGCACAGCCTGAACTCAGGAAGCGAGTGCTCAGATTATAACTCCTTCATACCAGCCCGAGCTTCAAGAGCTTGGAGACAATCCGGTCGAAAACTCCCCTGTCGTCTTCTTCGTATATTTTGTTTGCGATCTTTTGTACGATGTCCTCTGCTGTTAGCGGGGTCCCGTCAAGCTGCCGGAAACTCTCTGGATCGTCTGCAATGGATAAAAGGGAGGCTTCAGCCTCGAATTCGGGGGGGGGCGGTAGGGGCGATGTCTGTCTGGAAAATCTCTGTGTCACTTTGCCCATGAGATGTTTCCTGGCAGTTTGGTAAGTGACTGCCATCTCAAGAGGCTCTCTCAAGCGTCATTGGGCAGCCTGGGTGGGGGGGGGGGGAGCTCGGATCTTGCTGTCCTAATGGACTTTCACCTGCAGTCCTGTTTTCTGTCATGCAGTTCTGTTACATTTCCAGGGGATGTGTGTTTATTCCTGCATATACTCCATGAGCCTGTGTGTCTCTGTGCTTAATGTCTATGTTGTCTGTCTCTCCAGCACGGTTCATCTTGACAGCACTATCAGTACAAAGTTAAAATGACATGAAATATTTAAAGTATTTTACTATTTTTGGACTATCTTGGCTCTACGTGATCCTAATAGTCACTTTTGCCTTTTTCTAATGGTCTAGGAAACATTCCCTCTTAATGATCCGGCATTATCCAGTACTCTAAAATAAAATAAATCCACATGCAGTTTAACGAGATTCAAAGCCAAACGTTTCCAAGCTGCTCGGCCCTTTAAATAAGCCGACAGTGTGGGCAGGACGCCAGCAGCGAGACCCAGGCAGTGCTCCAACTGCACAAGGTCAAGCTGTTTGGAAATCCAGCAAGAGTAGGATTCAGCGGAGAGTGGTTCATGGCAAATCCCTGCTAGGACGCCATGCTGAAAAGTGGCTTTACTGTTTTTACTGTTTTGCCACTACTTTGAGATACTCCTCACTGGCAATCTCAGAGAGGCTCACAAACTGAAGGTAGTAAACCCAGATGAAATACAAAAATGACGACCGTTTCCAAATTCTAGCTGTTTTTTCACAGTGATACGATTGCTTAGTTTCTTCCTCAGTCTGATTAGTCAAATACATAGTATACTGATATCGCACCATTTCCCTGTTCGGTAGACCGAGCCCGGCCGCCTCGTACCTCTGAATCTGTAGTCCATGCCGTTTTTGGTGGAGTCGTAGTCGTCTGTCAGTCCTCTGCTTTTAGTGGAGTCAGCATCTTCTGTAAAATGCTGCCCATCCAGGACGCCGGTGCTGGGACTCGCCTTCTCCGGATTCTTGGCTCTCTCTGCTGCCGACCTGACGGTGCTGAAATTATTGTTGTCAGGATCTATTCTTGGCTCCGTTGAGTCAGACCGGCGTGTTTCTTCTGACGGTATAAAACACAAACAAAACACAGAGCTCTGCATTTGGACTATTCTGCATTTTCACCATGCATACTAAAATGTCAAAACTTATTAGCTGCGTGGAGAGGGTTTTACAGGATCACGGACACCAATACGTTGTGTAGCTCAGGATAAAAAGAGCATCCTGGCTGGAGTTAGTCATAATTGAGCAGACCTGCCATAATGGGTGTATTACCCTTGTAAAGACGACACACATCCTAAACCTACAGCTTACCGACTGGTTTGGCTTTACTGACACTATCCGCTTCTGCGATCTGTAGAAAAGACAAAATATGTTTCAAAGCGTGTTTTCACACATTTCACTACATTTTTAATCACACTGCATTACATTACTCTTCTGCAATATGGCGAGAGAAGACAGTGTTACATCAGTCCTCCAAAACCCGCGTTTTAACAGTATATTACATCCTGCTTTTAAAAACAAAACCAAAATAAAAAAAGTCTAATTTTTCAGTTTTTCCCTTCATATTTCAGCGTTAAAAAATCACCTGCTCCTCCAGTGGTCGTTCTTCACTCAGCTCTCTGTTATAAACAGTATGAACTGCAAAAAAATGTATAATAATAATTTATTAACGCAACAAAGATAACTTAAATTAACCGTGATCTGTTCGCGTCACCTCGTCCAAATTTCATAAGCAAAATTCAGGAAAAATGTAAATCAAATCTGTCCACTGACCTACGGCAACATTTTCATGTCCCAAACAGGAACGACCGCAAACTAACCGGATTACCGTTACAATGATTCTACTACGATTAGAACAATACACATTCGATGGACAAAACATTAATAAAGAATATCTCTAGTTTTAAAAACCAATTTATGCAAAAGGATAGCACGACATTTATATATAATACACTACATATAAATATATACACTATAAATATCAAGTAAAAATACATATTATTAAAACGCATAAAGGGTTAAAAGGTGAGAATGTTTACAAGACGATGCCACTTACCATTTCTCAATGCGGGTGTAGGAAAGGAACAGATGTGGTACACAGTTATAGTGAATATGTAAGTGATGATTAAAAATCCCGTGCTCTTAGACGCCATCCTTGTGGCTTGTTGTGTCCGGAAAATGGGATCCCCACTAGTGTATTGTTTAAGGCGTACTTTAAAAATGCCCGTCAGATTTCCGATGGCTCCGCATAGGCAAGACTCGCTTTCCACCCGATACGAGCCTCCAGGTACCGATGCTTTCTAGTGGCGTCGCGGAGCTGTTGCGCGTCCGCTGGTGCTGAAAGCGGGTCGCTGGCCGCAGATAAGGCAGCGTCGCAGTGCGCAGCCGCGCTGTCTATGGCGCCCTAGCAGGACGACAGCCGACCGACCGGGGAAAACTAGCGGCGGAGGGGCGCGGGGCAGGCGGCTCCCCGCGCTGCGCCAGCCCCCGCTCCGCCTGCGTCAGTCCACCATCACGCTACGTTTCCACCTGGTGACAGCGATCGACCCACAGACGGATGCAAGTTCATAGCAGAAGGCGATCAGGGCCGGATGAGGTCGCCTTTCCTGTAAATTCGCCTGTAAAGCAATATCGAATTCCCGTCAATGCAGCTACATAGCATTGTATATACTGTCAGTAAAATGGGGACATTTTAACGGCATGTCTTTTCTACATTTTTAAGTGCACTAATTAGTAGGGTGGGGAGACCCATGTATTTTCTATTACAGCAGCAATTACTGGGATGCTAATTGATGGAATTCAATAAATTCAAGAAATAAATCTATACCGTTCAGAATTACAAAATAGGACTTTGTAAAGTAAAACACGTCTTCAAATAATTGCGTGCATATTATCTACTTTGCGTGACTTATTGTTGTTTTATTTGGATTTCGATAATTACCGAAAAGCTGGTAGTCGGTCCGGTTGAAAGGCCACGCACTTGACCCTGAGACTTTTTAGGTATCTGGACGTGCCCGAAGTGATAAATCCATTGTCACGCTAAATGTGAGTTAGAAAGCGTTTCAGCGGAAAACATGAGGTATGACTTTCAACTGACGGCATATCTTTGATTAATAGGGGTTCGGTTCGTTGCCCCTTGGGCTGGATTTCCTTCTCCACTCTGCCAGCAGTAAGTAATCATCCATTTTTTGCCAGTGGGGTTGACTGATATACCACTGCTGTCCTACTGAGAAAGGCCTTCTTTCTGTGACATTGTCTTGATTCATCCCTGTTCCTCCCTCTGTCCTGCGTCAGCTTGTAAATGCTGTGAAAGGGCCACTTGGTTTTGCTGGCCTGAAATCTGAGGAACTGACGCATGAAAAATGATCAGCATATAATAAGATCTCAGCCTTTGATATCATATTCGATCAACTTTAACTGAGTAATTGGGCTCCAGGATATTTTAATACGAGGCTTTTTCTAGCGAAGACCTTTTGTTGTTGTTGTTAGATTTTAATGAATTGTAACAGCCTGGTTGAGGCAAAGTGTATTTTTGGATCACTGTCTGACTTCCGTAGGTTTGGAGCGACCCAGAATCCAGCTGGCCCAAAATGCCTTATGCTAGACAGCATCATCACTGTCAGCATCAAGACAAGGGCGTAGCTAGAAATTTTGGACCCCTGACAGAATGTCAAATTGTATGTATAATTTTATGTGTTTGAGGGTCCCTGTAATGTTCTGGGCCCCCTGTGTCAGCCAGGGTATCCATGCTCCTCTGCCCCCCCCAGCCAGGGTATCCATGCTCCTCTGCCCCCCCAGCCAGGGTATCCATGCTCCTCTGCCCCCCCTGCCAGGGTATCCATGCTCCTCTGCCCCCCCTGCCAGGGTATCCATGCTCCTCTGCCCCCCCTGCCAGGGTATCCATGCTCCTCTGCCCCCCCAGCCAGGGTATCTATGCTCTGACCCCCCTGCCAGGGTATCCATGCTCCTCTGCCCTCCCTGCCAGGGTATCTATGCTCTGACCCCCCTGCTTCAAGGTAAGAATGAGAGAATTCAATGTCAGAATGGAGGTCTGTGACTTGGTCCCTTGGAAACACCGTGAAAGCTACAGGACCTTATGTAGCAAAAGCAGAATTTGACTCAACAGTTTACCCTGTATGCGCAGTTATTAAATATAACTGCTGTATCCAATTTTATCTTATGGTCAGCTACTTAACAGTTGTAGTCCCATCCATCCATCCATCCATCCATCGTACTTTTCCAGCTCAGTATACAGGCGATTTTGGAGCCTAACCCAGGAAGCAGTACTCTTTTTTTTTTTTTTTTTTTATCGCAATTTTGCACTTTGTCAGTTTTTACAACTACATATTATTGCTAAAATAATAAGTGCTCAGTCAAGGGTAAAACCTGAATTCTACTGCCGAAAGCACAATCTTTTGGTGAGAGGTACAGCTTAGCACACATGTCTTATGCAAAGGACAGTTAAACCTCCCGAAAATGTTAAGTCCCCCATGCTTGACCAGTCACAGAGGGAGTGGAGGTGTTCCAGGTCCCATGGCCATCTGGATACTGCCCCCCTCCCCACCCCCCCGCCTCACAGTCTCCTCCCAGCCAAACTGCCAGCACGTTTGCTGACAGAAGGCCATCCAGCAGCAGCCTGTGGCAGGGATAAAATGCGGATCTGCGGGGGGGGGAGCCTTCCCGTGTAGGTTCGTACCAAAATGCTGAAAAATAGGTGGACACGAGGAAACTGGCCAAACTAAAAACACATTATTCTGATTCTGTTCCTCTGAATAGGATAGAATAGAATAGAATACCTTTTATTGTCATTGCACAGATGAACAATGAAATTTAGTGTGCCTCCTGAATAGGACATACAGCATAATAAAAGATAGCATCTCTGAATCTAGTCACATGTCCATGGAGCCTTGAGCGAGGCCCTTAACCCCCAACTCCATGGGCGTTGCTGCCCTTCACTGCCAAGCTTACTGTCACCTGTGTCTGTGTGTAATGGAGAGCGAGATGGGGTAGGCGATGAGAGAATTTCCCCACAGGGATCAACAAAGTGCCAATATTATTATTAAGTACCTAATATAACAAATAGACATTTATAACTTCATTACAACTTCTAGAAAGAATTTCTAGTTTGAGAATATTTGAACCTTATTTAAAAATACCACACAAAATGTTAACACTGGAGGGAATCTGTGACATATAAAGACATCATGTGACAGCTTTCTGAACATGGGCTGCTTGTGACAGCCATCTGAAGATCACAGGTTCTGCTGGACTGGGCTGCGATGGAGCGAGGGGCTTGTTCTCCAGCAGTGACTGACCGACCCGCCTGACGGTGAGCTGCTTTGCTGGCACCGGTGTGGAGCATGTGCTCCTTCGGGTGACGCATTGGGCTTCAGTCTTTTATCTTGTCCCTCTGAGCCTATTTAACATTTGCAGAAAGTCTGCACATTTCTTGTGAAGTTTGCATTCTTTCAGCTGCCCCCCTCCCCAAAGCCTTACAAAAACATATTGCTATAACAGTATAGTTATTCTATAGCTAAGTAAGTTTCAGGCAGATTTGTGTATTAGCAGAAAGTTTGTATTTAATCCAGAATTGATTAATTGAAGATTGCAAAGTGTAATTACACAGATTTTATTGTGATCCCTGTGCAAGGTGGGTCTTTGGCTATAGCACAGATTTATTTGCATATGACTCAGGTGCAAGCTCAAAATAAACCATCTGTATTATGAGAAAAGACGGGAAAAGTCATTTTCCTTCTTTTAGACTGTATGGGTTGGTAGGCCACTGAAAAAAATGCTGCATTTGGCTTTTTAAAAGTGCAGTATTTTGTCATTTATATTTTGGTTGCCTTATCACTTTAAAAAATCTCCGCGTGCCGTTAGATACTTCTCCTGCTCCTATTTTTACAGTTAAATTGCCTTTGTTCCCGGTTTTCAGAACCTGAATGACTTCAGCAAACAACGTGAATAAATAGCAGCTAAACCGAACCAGCAGTATGCATGTAACATGCTGAGTAAGCGCCCCATCTTGCCAGTGGCAGTGTTCAGGAAGGCCTCCTACGTGCAACTTTTCTCAGCGACCATTGCATCTCAAAGTGTGTTGTGGTGTCGACGTTTTACCGCAAGAGGGCGCCAAAAATTTAATAACTCCTTTGTGTAAATGGAAGCGTGCTCTCGCAAGTCAGCTCAGCCTTAGAAAAGCAAGGTGTCATTTGGGATGAAAATATCCAAATGAATCTCCTTTTATAAAAAATATATAAATAAAAAAAATCTCCTTTTATATACAGCAGAGCCTCCTCCTTGTACAATCGGGTGATATCGCTATTCCCGTGTTTTACTAACAGTGTTTCATTTGTAATGTTCAAGCTTTGGTTATGAAACCTGACATCTTAATGGCAGATCAGTACTATTTAAAGTACAATTTACACCGTAATAAATGTGTTATGTATTATTCCACGATGCAGAGGTCGGCTGAAGTTCGGACTAGACCTGCACTTTTAAAATTTCAACACCATTTGTATTTTTTGGTGCGTTTCTTTTGTAGTTTGTTGAAAAGTCAGAAAACTGATGTCTGGAAGATGTTTAGATAATGTGCTTATAATAAGAAATCCCAGTGACTGGCCACCATTATTATGCTGTCTGGCTCAAGCAGCTGACATTACATTGGACTGGGTTACTTGAAGATTCTGGCAGCTGGTGATGTTGGACATGATCATGGGCTCGTAACCCGTAGACTGTAGGTTCAAGTCCTGGTACGGCCCCGACTGCTGTGCTCTTGCATAGTATGCATTGATTGGCCCAGTGAAAAATCCTTCTGTATAAAGCAGGGAGGGGAGTATGAACTTCACTTGCTGCAGGTAAAAATGTCAGCTGAGCAAGTTAATAAAAAACGTAAAACTAGCGCGGTCACTCTTGCTTCAGTTTTTAGACCTGGCCCAGTTTGCAGAAATCACATTTCAGAGTCGGTGAACCGTTTGCAATGTTTTGCGTTTTGGTAGCGTTCAGCCAGGTTAAACAGCAGCGTTGTCACGTGCAGTTTGCTGGAACATGCCAGATGCTACCGAATGACGCCTAAATCACGAGCGTCTAACCTAACAGCGTTTAATTCTTTTTGCTCAGTTTTCCGTTTCATTTCAGAGGATGCATGGAGAGCAAATTTAATAAAACCCTGCTATGCCATTCGGACTGTAAAACGTTTGCTTTTTATTTCAGACAAATTTATTACAAGTTTTCAGAACGTTCCACTGTTTCTGCTAAAGATGCAATTTAATGTGATTTTGCCATTAAGGCCTATTGGTTTTCAGGCAGGATGCCACTTTCTTGGGCTGGTGGATATTTGTCTTATAATATAAACGATTTGCAGGTCAGCACTAAAGGAGGGTGTTCTCCTGGGTGTGTCGTCTATGATCTCTTCATGACAGCTTGATGTCGCCACTTTATAGGAGCACATTTAAAAAGAGGCC